TAGTAGTCACCAGCATATGTGGAAAATATTTGCTAGTCAAATAAAGTCTTTTATTTTTTTCAACATGAAACAAAGATATCAGAATTTTTCATTGAAAAATTGTACAGAGATTTCTATTTCTAATTCATCTACCACATTGGCGGAAACAGCACTGTAAGCTTAGCTTGACTAAGTCTGCTTCATTCATCTGTCAACAGGAATCTAGGGTTCAAACTGAGCTGACAATTGTTGAAGGTGGATGGAACAGAACAGGCTGTGCAACAGCATCGCATTTCACACCTCCGAGGGTTCTACACTCCCAACAATAACATCATATCTCCGGCAGTCAAGCATAATTATAAGGCTGGATAGATTAACACAAATGAAAAAGCCAGTTAAAATAGATTTCTTGACTCTCTCCTAGGTATCATTATAGAACTGGCTGGATTCTGTGACCTGTAAATATTAGAATGACATTTCCTTTCAAAGCAAAAGGACAGAGAGATGGTGCCCCACAATAACCCTGAAAAAAGGCCAAATTCAGGTTTCAAGTTGACTACATTTCATACAGAAACCATCCTGTATAATTTTATCACACTCTTTGCTCCTTACTGGAACATAAATGCCTTTATTTTCTAAATATCCAAACCCAGAAGTCACATTCTCATGTACTCTGCAATCAGGTTAACACACTGGTGAAGTAAATAATTCTAGCCTTTGTGATACTCAAGCTGGGCACTCAAAATACTTACATGGAATCTTTTGCGGCAACATTTTAATGTTATTGTTAGGAGAAAGAAAAATTTTTAAAAATCTAATAGTAAAAAATTAATGAAATTCACGATCTAAAAAAAGTTGTATTCAAAATTTTGTAGCTGATATTCCTTTGGAAGAAATATCTTTTTGTCAAAATGGTTAAAATTGAATAATAAACCTGACCAGCTTCCTAAAGAGTAAATTGATATATGGAGCCTGATTCTAGTCACACTTAAAGTTTTAAATTATAAATGATCTCAATATGCAAGAATATAGAAACTGCCAAAAAGAAACACGTAACCACACATGAATGTATCCAACTTTTCTAAATCTATATTAAATTAATATATAAATGTAAATGTCCTTAAACTGGGCTTTTTCATTATACATGGATTTAAAAAATTTGTCTTAAGAGCATTACCTCAGAAGAGTAATGAAAAAGCCACTGTCAATGACAATGAGGTCCACCATTGAATCTCGAGCAAACCAGTTTTTTATTTGACTATTTTAAAATGCGCCCTAGGGAGCTCTGGTAGCCTGGTGTTAAGGAGTTGAGCTAGCAATACAAAGGTACACAGTTTAAGTCCACCATTTGTGCCATGGGAGAAAGGAAATCTCATCTCTTGTGACTAGCTGTCTCTGAAAATCAAGGTCAACTATGAATCAGTTCAGATTTTACATACATAACAATAACACATATTGGGAAAGTCTGTTGTTAGAGACCTCTCCAAAGTTCTGAAGAGCAATGATGTCAGTCTGGAGACTAAGGTGTGCCTGATACAAGTCATGGTCTTTGAAATCACATGCTATGCTCTAGAGAGCTGGACAATGACTAGGGATGATAGAAGGAAAATTGTTGCTTGAGAAGATTCTTGAATTTACCTTGGACTGCTAAGAAAACAAACAGGTTCACTCTGAAAACAGTTAAACCAGGCTGCTCCTCAGAGGCAAGGATTCTGAAGCTTCATCTGACATACTTTAGATATATTGCAAGGAGGGAACAGTCCTTGGAGAGGGATGTCATGCTTGGGAGGGTGGAGGAACTGTGCAGGAGAGGAAGACCCTCGATGAAAAAGATTGATTCAGTGACTGGAGTAATGGGGGTAGGTGTGTCAGGAACAATAATATTGGCACAGGATAGACAGAGCTTAGGGCTGTTGTATAGTGCCACTATGAGTAGCAGGTAACTCAACAGCACATAACAATAACAATAACAATAACAATAACAATAACAATAACAATAACAATAACAATAACAATAACACAACAATATGTGTGCCCTAATGCTGCTTTCTCCAGTACTGAAGTACATTCCATACCTAAGTGGAAGTATATAATGCAAAATACACTTCAGGATACCTGGTTGCACCTTGCAATTTCTCTGTATATGTGAAACCACAGCATTACAGAAGCTCAGGGCTACAAGGAAGTTCTTGGGATACATTTGGTATAGGATCTTGGTCAAAGAATAGTTACCAGAAGGAAGACTGTTTAGCTGTTTAGACTGAATTTGTGCTTTTCATTTAGTCTAAAGAACAGAAGCAATAGCACCTCTAGTTAAAACAGAAACATAGATTATACACATATTTTAATTTGTAGAAATAATAAAATTTTCATTAAAATGATGAAGCTTTGCCTCACATACTTTGGACATGTTGTTAGGAGTTATTTGGAATAGAACATGATGTTGGGATGGGTAGAGAGTTGGTGAGGAGTAGGAAGACCCTCAACCAGGTGGATTGATATGGTGACTACTGCAATGGGCTGTTATATGTCAAGAAGTATGAGGATTGTGCAGGATAGAACAAGGTTCAGATCTTTTGTTCATAGGGTTGCTATGAGTTGTGCTTGACTTGACGGCATCTAACAAAAACAACTAATATAAAATTGCTGAAGAAGTTCTAATTTATGGAGGGAAAGGTAGAGGGGAAAATATGTACCAAATACAAGATACACACAAAATTAGAACTGGTAAGAAGTTGCACTTCCAACTCAAAGGCATGCAATTAGAATCCAGGCTGCTGTGAGGAAAACAGATGGGCAATCCCCTCCCATACAATTTATAGCTTCTTAAAACCCATTGGAGGGTCAGCTATGATTTGGTTCTAACCCATAATAATAATGACAACAAAATTAAAAAAAGGAAGCATATGATTGGGAGAAAGTTGTCAGATGTATAATATATTGTTGATAAATCGTGTACTCATAATGTCACTCTTCATTAATTTATATTCAAATGCAAGGATAAATGGGAAAATTGCTATAATGCCATTTAGAGTAAAATTTGATGGCAGATAGTATCTTGCAAATAATATGAGAGTATTGACATTAAAGGCTCAAAAGTTCTTTATAAGGGCAGTCTCAGCTCCCAGCTGGAAACAAAGGAGGATACTTCAATGATTTAGGTCCCCCCAGAAGAGCTGTGGGTGAGCATTAACATTACTGGTAAGTACATTCGTTTTCTCCTGGACACAAGAGCCTACTATTTGGTCCTAAAAGCCTTCTGAGGTCCCAACTCTTCTCACTATTTCTTAGTTGTTGGAATTGACGGAAAACCTCATAAGCAGTTCCTTACTTCACCTCTGCCTTGCATGCGGACTTCCAAGTTGTAAAACAACCCAGTGGTAGATGGAATTTGCTCCAGGACTTAAGAACAATAAATGACATAGTTGAGCCTTTATATCTTGTGGTTCCTAACCTTTGTACTATAATAGACAAAGTGCTAGTCAATAGGCCTTTTATTGTAAGAACTACCTTCCCTCTTTAACTTGATTTGTGCCACTATTAGAGCCTCTACTTGGAATATTATTGCTTTTTAATTTTTGACTCATGTACTTTTAACTTGTTAGTTAAATTTGTGTCTTCTAGGCTGCAACACTTCTATGATACATCTTCAAGGATATGAACATCTAAATTCCAAAATCAATCTCCATAGTAGTCTATGTGTTGTACTGTCAACCCAAAGGGACAGGGTTCGAATCTACCAGCTGCTTCATGGGAGAAAGAGGAGTAATCTTGATTTACTGTCTCTGAAAACTCATTGGAAGGTCAACTGTGAGTTGGTTCTGACTCAAGAGTGCATAACAACGGCAATAATAAAATATCTTTTAAAAAAAAGGATCCTTGAACACCTCTATTCCATCTGTAATCTCTCTTCCTTCCTCTGGGTAGTAATAGTTTGTTTCCACTTTTAAAGAAAGAAGCTTAAGCATGAAGACAAAGAGTAAAGGCTCCTAGACATGGAGCATGCCATCTGCCTAGCATTATGCAGGATCTAAAAGTCAGCTACAGAAGGAAAGTCATTTCTAACATGATTTATGTCCCATCCTCAAATGTGGCAGGAAGACTGCTATAGATATTTGGAAGCCAATGTTTCCTCTGAATAAAGTGAGTAAGTATATGCTAAGCCCCTCTCCCTGGACCATATTTGGCCTGCTAGATAAGTTACCATTGTGGAGTCTGTGAACCCTGGAGCAAGCCGGCCATTTGGGATGAGAAAATATCTCAAGGCCAATGATCATTGCTACCGTAAATGCACAGTGCACAGTATAAACACTGGGGTCAGACAACAGATATTCAGGATATTACTCAAAAACACATCAAGCTCCAAGCTGACAAGATAATCTGTTCCTGTGAGCACAAAGCAGACTGGAATGCTGCCACTATGACCTACCCAAGGAGAGAAAAAAGAAAGTGAAACTCTCCAAGGGCTCCATCTCTTACTCTTTATGCAGGCAAAGCTCCAACAGACTTCAAAGGCAATGCTGGGGGGTGGGGGTTGTGCAGGACCAAGCCCACAGGGGATATTACTTCCATGATCATGTTGCCATCTACATTTGGTGGAAGGGCAAATGCAAATATTTCAGATACAAATTCAAACAAATGGGGAAAAAAGAGGTGTGAAATAGCTGAGAGATTTGCTTAGAGATTTTGCTTGCAAAAGAAACCTCAGAATTCCAGGAAAAGCATTTAAAATCAAGAGTTTCATAACTTATTCCTCAGAATATCCCAAGAGAGTAATTGGTCCATAATCATATTAAAAAAGAGGAGGATTTTTTTTTAATTGGCACACAGCATTTTATCACAATAGTGTACTAAAAAAAATTTTTCCCAAGTCATCTTAAAGCTCCTCCTTTTAGTAACTGTTAAAAGTTCAGTGATATTTCTCTAACTGAAACATAGCTATACTTTGATATTTCAATAAAGTTTTAATGTACATCATCCTTATTAATGTAAAGGGCTAAAAATGCAGCAAATATACTTACAGGAGGACCTACGGTGAGTATGAGGGTGAAGAAAGGAAAGAAAGAAGAGAGAAGAATTAGTAAATATGCAAAATACAGTATTAAATAAAATAATTAAATCAACATACTCATCAGTATAATACAAGGGGCATGGAAGTAATTTTGAAGTTTTCTAATTGATATACTTAACAACAGAGATTATTTTTTTCAGTAACTTATGATAGACTAATTACAGATAATTGATATATCATTTCTTGAGATTTTTCAGATAGCTATATAAAAATTGAGGTGGGGGTACTCCTCAATTTTTGTTTTCAGAATATTAATGATTAAAAATATTGTCAATATATCAAAGACTAGTTCCAAAGTTTATATAGGTTTCTTTGAAACTACATATTCTTATCAAAGCATAAGCAAAGTATAGGAGGATTACAAGTCTTTATACATGAAGTGGCCAATAATTATAAATGGGAGTTACCAGTAGCCATGTAGTTTAGCATGGATTTTTATACATTTTTTTTAATCAAATTTCACATACTGCCTCATGAAACTCTATGAACTTTGATAAATGTCGATAGTTACAGAGGGACTTCAGGATTTCTATCCATAGGGTTGCTAGGAGTCATGCTTGACTCAAAGGCAATCAACAACAACAACAATAACACATCATCTTCTCCATTATCCACTATATTTTTTATACAAAGTACAATTTATATGAGTCCCTGAGTCCACTAGTGTTATATAATTTCTTTATCCTCAAAAAAATTTATCAACTACTTCTATTATAAAAATTCACCTTTCATGAGGTTATACCTGTTTCTACTTACTTAGATTCAAAACATTTCAAGTATAACTTTTGAGAATACTCTGAAAGGAAAGAAGCTACTACTCTGCACAAGAAATTTTATAACCCTTTTTATTTGACTCTTTAAAAAAAAATAGGAGGAAAGTACATAGATCATCAAAATGTGACTTGCTATTCCTGATAGGTAATGTGTCTATCATTTCAATATTTAGCAATGAGTTGCTTTTAATATTTATATTATTAGAAAATATAAAAGAGAACATTTCTCAGCACTCTGGAATGAAACATCCTTTTACTCATAGTAGCCATTGTTGTAGGTGCCAGCTAGTCCATTTTACTGATTGCAACCCCACATGATAGAGTAAAACTCTCCATACAATACTTGGCTGCAATCTTTATGGAAATAGATCAGGGCTTTATCTCATGGAGGTGCTGAGTTAGTTCAAATCAGCAATCTTTCCATCGGTAACCCTGCATTCAATTACTGCATCACTAAGTTTCCTCTGTATTTTATTTACTTTCTTTCATAGCTTGTAAGGGAGGATATTTTTGTAAATCACATGAGAGATTGTCCATCTGTCTCCCATGGAGCAACTGGTGGATTTGAACTGTTGCCTTCAAGATTGTAACACAGCTTCTTTTCGTAGGCCACCAGACCTTCTGATAAGACATCACATGGTTCTTTATAGTTTTAGTATTGCGGATCTCATAAAAGAAAACAATTGTTTAACTCACTTATTTGCATATGTTGGTTGCAAAATTTCATTCCTTTGTTTGTTTGCTTGCTTACTTTTTGCTTTACTTTGATACAGGGATTTGACCTGAGAGCAAGACTCCACCGAGATGGGAGTTAGAACAATTGGTTTGACTTCAAATTTTGCTAACAAAAGCTGAGCGGTTTTGGCTGACACACCTGGCTGCTCTAAGCTTCCACTGGATTCTTAACTACAAAATGAAAGTACTGGATTGACTGCTAACACTTCTGTCATCACTACAATTTTATAGTTATACCAGGGGAATAAAAATTCCTCAATTTTGGAAGAAAAAAATTGGGAGTAAAAGCATGACAAAATTGTGCTAGTTGGACAAAATAATAATATAGCTTTCCAAGACAAGCATTTTGATGACCTAAGGCAAATGTTTTTGCAAAGACCCTGCAGACATTCATTGATCACTATGGAGGTGGAAGCACGGGTGTAGCTGCCACACTGTGTGGAGATTAGAAAGCCTCCACTGTGCACAGGAAGGACAGACTTGACTTGCCACTGAATATAAGCCAATATTGGATCATGAATTGACAACACTTTATAAACATTTGATACTTTGCCAAAAAAAAATTCTTTTCAGGGTCTAGCAGAGAAGATTTAAACACATGTGTATGTATGTACATACACATACATATGAAAAGAGTATATGAGACCCCACAATACATTACAATACAATAATTAATGAAGAATAACAGATGTGGGAACCCAACCAGAACATAAATGTATGATACAGAGAGACTTACCAGATTCTCCTCTTCGGCCCCTCTTACCTCGTTTCCCTGGAGGGCCTAAAAACAAAGAATAAATTTTTTTAGGGTAGTTTAACCTATTTTCCATTATTTCAAAATGATTAGTAAATAATCTATAGATATTTTATCACTGTTTTTAAGTTATTATTCAAGAAACCCTCTTAGTATTTGATAAGACTACATTGTCTGTGGTATTTAAGTATAACTTTTAAACTTCATTTGTTTAAAAAGCTGCTGTGAATGTTTCATCAGCTAGTATAACATAAAAGCAATGAAAGAGAATTTTTGTTTATACTGCTAGGATATTATCAACACAGTTTTGCTAAGCAAGGGGTGATATTGAGACATGTTTCTTAGATAAACATCTCTGAAGGTTTTCTCATAGTAATAATGAAAAGAATTAAATACAATCCAAAATATGCATATTAATATGGATAAGACTGTGAAGACTAGGGATTCCAGAACACTTAATTGTGCTCATGTGGAACCTATACATAAGGCAAGATGTTGTTGTTCAAACAAAACAAAGGGGAAACTACGAGGAGTAAAAGGAGGGAAGGTGTGTGTCAGAGTGTATCTTTTTTTATCATTATTATTCAATTTGTATGCCAAGAAAATATCTGAGAAGCTGGACTATATGAATAAGAATGTGGCATTAGGATTGAAAGAAGATTCTAAGCAGCCTGCGATATGTAGATGACACAATCTTATTTCTGCTGAAACCAAAGAGGACATCAAGGACTTACTGGTTAAATATCAAAGACTACAGATCAAAGATTTCATTATAGATCACACCTTTACATAAAGAAAACAAAAATCCTCACAATAAGATCTCTAAGCAGCATCATGATAAACAGAAGATGTTGAAGTTGTCAAGGATTTCATCTTACTTGAATTCACAATACAAGAATTCTCTTAAAAGATGAAATCAAGATCTCAAATGATATATTGCATTGGCAAATCTACTGTAAAAGATCTCTTAAAAGTATTGAAAAGCATAGATGTCACTTTGACGATTGAGGCATGTCGACCCAAGCTGTACTATTTTCAATTGCTTCATATACACACAAAATTAATAAGGAAGACTAAACAAAAATTGATGTCTTTGAATTGTGGAGTTAAAGAATACTGGCTGTACCATGGACAACCAATAAAAAGAATAAAATCGTTACCTTGGGGGAGAGGAGGTAGAGGTAGTAGAATGTACAATGAATGAATGAATAAAAATCTAACTTTTGTATACTCTTGTTAAAATCATAATTAAAACAAAAAAAATTATTTTTTTTAAAAGAAAAAGCATGATCACAGCCAGAATGCTCGTCAGCATCAAGGCAGGTAAGATCTTATCTATTGTAGTCTGGACTTCTCAGAAAAGGCCGTTCCCTGGAGAGGAACATCACATGTCGAAAGGAAAGAGTTAGCAAAAAAGAGAAAGGTTCCCCAAAAAGATTCATTCACACAGTGGTGGCAACAATGGGTAAGGATGGTGAAGACGTTTCACTACATGTCAGAAAAAAAACCCCAACAGTTCTTAAAAACAACAGGGATTCTCTTCAATCAGAAACATTATATCATCTTGAAAGTGTTTAATTGTTGGTGCTGTTGTTACTATGTGCTGTCAAGAAGGAATTAACTCATAGATGACCCTCCAGTGGGTCTTCAGAGGCTGTAAATCAAATGCGAGGAGATTACCTATTTTTCTCCCATGCAGCCTTTGGCTTAGCAGCCCAACTACTCATCACTAAATGTAAGAAAATGAATTGTTATAAATATTTCTATCATTTTTGTTGGTGTGTGCAGTTGATTCAGAACTGACAAATAGCTGACCCACAGCAGGTTTTCAGAGGCAGTTAATTGAGTGGGAGGAGACTGTCCATCCTTCTCCCGCAGAGCAGCTGTCAGATTAGAACCATGTGTCTATGGGATTCTAGCACAGTTTCTTGCCACTGAGTCACCAGAGCTCCCTTTCTATTAAACATAAAATTTAATATGGTGGAATTTAATAAGAATTACATGACTTTAAATTGCAACCTTTTTTGCAGGGAAGTGTTTAGATAGGTCTCAAAATCTTACGTAGGCCATGAGGAAAAATCAACTCAAGGTAAATTAACAATAACAAAGCTAATTATTGTCATTCAAGAAATATTTAGCTAATATGATGATTCCCTATAAAAGTGTAGAGGAAAATAACAGCAATAAGCAGCAACTTGCATGTGAAGACCACCAAAACAGTATTTATCAAATTCAGCCCAAGATTCTAGGCACTCATGGCTTTCAAGTCATTATTCGCAATTATATAATTTCTGTCCTCATTTCCTTGAGTAGGAATAACTCCCACTGAATTATAGTTCAGGAAAGTAGATGAGAATAATTAGCCCACAATGAAAAAGAGAAGGCTCATATTCTTTGCCAAGAAAGGACGCGGGGGGCCTGGGGGAGAGAAGCCAAGGAAAAGAGAGAACTGCTTGGTTTTTAAGAATGAACTGTGACGTAGAACTGATACCTTCCAAATTCCAGAAAGTTCAAGATACAGGCAGAAGAGGCCTTAGTATCCAGGGGACTCTCACGGTGATCCTGAACCCCTGTCCTCCACGGGGGAGCACCAACATGAGAAACTAAAACATTAGTGGGCCAGTTAGTTTCGCCCACCTCCTGAACACAAACTAACTCTGGCCATCTGTGTTTTACAAAAGGTTAAAAATATTCATGAAAAAATCATCTGAAAATATTTGGGGAAGCATTTTAGTAGCAGGCTCCAAAACTGTGAGTAGAAATTTTAGGTTTCTTTCTCAATTCTGGAGTAAAGGGAAATTTTCATCATCGTCAAGCATTTGTGGCCAGATTAAGAGCAAAATTTATCATTATCATATAAAGGATAATTATAAATAGATCCCTTTAATATTAAAAATAAACTCAGTGTGACCATAATGATCATCTCTGAGTTATCTTGTAGGTAAGAGTAGAACCACCCAATAGGGATTTCGAAGATTATAAATTTTTACATTTCTTGCATGGAGTGGCTGGCAAGTTTTATCTGCTATCCTTTTCATTAGCGTCCAAGCACTTGCCTAAGGGATCAATTGGAACTCTAACAGAAAAATCAATGACTTATTCATTGCAAATACATTTTATAAGAGACACAAACGCAGGTTATACACATGGACTTCACCTGATGGTGGGCATAGGAATCAGATCGACTGCATCTGTGGAAGGAACCGCTGGAGAAGCTCAATATCAGCTGTGAAAACTAGGCC